AGCCCCCAAGACAACAGGTCATGGAGCAAGGCTCCTGAAGGGCAAGGGACTGTGGGTGACAGAGCCAGGCTCAGGCCCCAGGGGACTCTGGGTAATACACCACCTACCAGTTCTGACCATTCTCTCCCATAAGCCTCCAGAGGCTCTTGCAAGGCAGGCTCTCCTGGCCGCAGGTGTCCCCTTTGCAGTTTTCCCTTTGGTCCTCCCAACCTGTTCTGTTGGTCCCTTTAGGGGACTAAGAGCCAGGCAGTCACCCCAGGCATTCACCCAGAAACTCCCCACCCATGTGGTCACTCAAGGAGCCAGGCCAGCCCTGTCCCCACCTTAGGAGGGGAAACAGAGGTCTCAGTAGAGACTCACTCCCAGGCTCCTGCCCTGATGCCAGCTGGCAGTGCCCTCCTACCCTCCCCGCTTGGCTCCCCAGCCCAGCCCTCGGAGGCCAGACTCGCACTGTCTGCTCTTCTCCATCTCCCATCAGGCTCCTAGCTTACAGAGCTTCCTGCAGCAGCGGGCTCAGCTGGAGCTCCTGGCCAGACGGGTCACCCTGCTGGAAGCCATCATCTGGCCAGGTAATGGCAGGGCGGGCAGGCAGGGGCAGCCTCTTCCAGGAAGGGCCTGGGCATGCAGAAGGCACCTTCCAATGCTTGGCCCAGGCCAGCGGACACTCATTCTTCACCCAGCCAGCCAGCAGATGGTGCCTGGTAGAGAGAAGGCTCTGGTCACTGAAGTGAATGAGCACCTGCTCTGTGCCAGGCACCTTGTTGGGACAGGCTCCACCAGATAAGACAGATATAGCCCTGCCCTTGAGGAGTGTAGGGTGCTGGGGGGGCTCGGGAGAACCCTGACACTGGTAGAGAAACCCAAGGTGAGCTACACCGCAGGGAAGGGAGTACAGGCAGCCATGGGAATACAGAAGTGCCTCTGGCCTGGCCTAGAAGAGGTTGGAGGGGGGTCAGGAAGGTCTTCCTGGAGGAGGTAATATCTAAGTGGAGACCTGAAGGGCAAACATCTGGGGAGAGTGAACAGGCAGAGAAACAGCATGAGCAAAAGCCAAGAGACCAGGAGCCTAAAAGCAAGAGAGTCCAGCAGGGCCCAGATCGAGAAGGTCCTAGAAGGCAGCTTGGGGTGACACAGGAAGTGGTTAAGACACCAGTAGGTAGTACCCCTCCTTGCATCTGGCTCCTGGGAGTGAGGCTGAGAAGGTCTCTCCCTATGAAACTGGAGCCTGTGGCTGGCCCCGGAGAAAGGAAGGGATTGGCCACCCGCGGGGCTGGGTCCTGTTCCTCACCTGCCCAGCAGCCCCATCTCACAGCCCAATGGGCACATCAGTGCACAGAGGCCTCCACATCATGTCCAACCCTATTTTAAAGACAGAGGCTGGGTGTGGTGGCTCACGCCTGTAATCCTAGCACTTTGGGAGGCCAAGGTGCGTGGATCACCTGAGGTCAGGAATTTGAGACCAGCCTGAGCAACATGGTGAAACCCCATCTCCACTAAAAATACAAAAATTAGCTGGACATGGTGGTGGGCACCTGTAATCCAAGCTATTTGGGAGGCAGAGGCAGGAGAATCACTTGAACCTGGAAAGTGAGGTTGCAGTGACCTGAGATCACTCCACTGCACTCCAGCCTGAGAAACTTAGGTCCCAAGCAAGAAGGAGGGTTAAAGTTAGAGCCCAGCCTCCTTCATCTGGCAAAACCATAGGGAGCACTCACTGAAAGCCAGGCTGGGTGGGCACTGGCGCTCTGAAATGCAGACAGGTCCATGCCTTGGGGAGCTGCCCATAAGAAGCAGGGAGTCATGTCTATAGAGCTGTGGGGTTAGGGAGCACGGAAGGCTGTGGATGAGAACAGTCACTTGTCCCTGAGGGTGGAGAATCTTCTTGGAAGATGGGACTCTGCGTTGGTTCCTGGAAGATCCCAATGAGTGTGCCAGGTGGGGAAGTGGGTGAGGAAGCCCTGAGAGAGTCCTGCCTGTGCAGAAGCCCAGAGGCTGGGAAGTATATGGGGTCTGCTTCCAGAGCCCCTCCCACAGTGCTGCATGCTTCTCTAACTTCCAGAAACTTCAGTGCCTAGCTCCCAGACATCCTCCCCTCTTACAGAGAGGGGCCAAGGACCAAATCTCAGGCTCTCAGCACCTTTCTAGGTACCTCAACCCTCTCTCTGAGGATTGGGGAAGGAGCTAGAAGGGACACATTTGGGTCACTGTGACTCTGGACCTATCCTTGCCTTCAGCGAGCTGACTCTGATAGCCCAGGGAGAGAAGTGTCAGGCACCTCAGAAGGCCGATACCCACTGCTAGTGGCCCCTCAAGCCAGCTAGGGTCAGGGCTTGGAGAGACAGGTCGGGGCAGGAGATGGGACAGGGAAGAAGGTGGGACCCTCCTCATTGGCCCAGCATACACAGCAGGTGCTACTGAAGACCCAGATGGAGTTCATGTTTAGGTTACAGTCAATAATTATAATAGTATCAGCTGCCACGTGTCTGGCCCACCTGGGCAGGATTGATCATCTCCAATCTGTTAGAGTAGTAAGCCTGCTAGGTGAGCGATGCCATGGCCATTTTACAGATGAAGAAACAGAGGCTTGATGGGCTCTTGTGACTACTTCAGGGTCACAGGGATAGGAACGGTCAGGCTAGGGGTCCACCTCAGGTCTCCCCTCTAAAGTGCTGGCTCTTTGGGCTTCATCAGCAAAGGTTTGCTGACTCCACTGCTCACCCAGGGCCCCAAATTTGATTGTGAGAAAGTCACAGGGACCAGACCTACAGGAGACCTGGGTCAAAACGACACCAACCTCGTAATCATAATAATCCAGCATTTCCTGCAAAAACCACTTTCCAGTCCTGGTTATGGTAAACACATGTATCACAAGAGTGTGAAAACGGGACTATTATCCCCATGTTCCAATGAGGCTCAGAGGTTCTGTGACTTGCCCAAGGCCACATAACGGTGGTAGAGTGGGACCAGGACACAACCCTAAGTGGCACTGGGGCCAGTGCTCTGTGCCACTCCCCTCCCACGCTCCCTGACTTAGGGCATGGGATGTCCCTTTCAGTGACCACACATGCCTGTCTGCTCCAGGAGCCCTTGTCTAAGCCCAGAAGTGTATGGGAGGCTGGGCAACACAGGTTCAGGGCACTGGCAGTCATGATTACGAGGGGATAGCCCACTCCCTGGCAGTGCCCTCAGTGGGAACCTGGTGTTCACCAGAACCCAAGTATCTGTCCTATTGAGGCTTAGCCAAGTCCTCCACCGAGGGCTTCTCCTCCCTAAGTGTCCATCTCCCCCTAGAAAAACAGCCTTTTCTTCTGACGTGGCTGGCCTGCTCATTTTGCTTTGGGAAGGGCTGAGATGATAGTCACAGAAGGCTTCCTGGAGGAGGTGGCTCCTACCCTTGGTTTTGAAGGAGGAGTAGTTTTCCAGTTCCATCTGGAACTGTCCCTGTTTTAGAGATGAGACAACTGAGGCCCTGACAGAAGCACAGCTTACCCAAGGCTGCACAGCAGGTCAGTGGCAGAGCCTGGCCACCTAAGCCCTTTCCCCCAACTGGTGGCGTAGCCCAAGTCTGTTCCCTAGCCTCAGTTTACCCAGCTACCAAATGGGAATGATTCAGGACACACCTCCGCCCCAAAATGAATAGAAAAAATAACCAGCCTTTATATGAAGCATTCATTGCATGCTAAACACTTCCTGAAGGCGGTGAGTCTGGTTATTTCCACTTGACAAAGCAGGAATCAGAAGCCCTGAGTGCTCTCCTTGGGTTGGGGGCTGGTAAGTCCTGGGGGGAGGCACTAACCAATCTGCAGACCCCCTTTCCCACAGCTCTGCGGCCAGACACCAGGATAGATTACACCTGGCAGAGGGTGCCCAGTCCTGCCACCCCCTAGAGGGCCAAGGGGAGGTGGGCACCTCACATGAACCGCCCCCTAATGTGGCCTTTCTCCTTCTCCTTCCCTTCGGCAGAACCAGAGCTGGGGTCTGGGGCAGGCCCTGCCGGCACGGGCACCCCCAGCCTCCTTCGGGGCAAGAGGGGCGGATATGCAGCCAACTACCGGATCGTGGCCCCCAGGAGCCGGGACGAGAGAGGCTGAGGGCGATGGTGGCCCCTGGGGCAGACCAGGCCAGGCTTCCCCTCCTACCTGGACTCAGCTAGCTGCCTTCAGGGACCACCCGTCCATATTTATTAATGTCCTCAGGGTCCCTTCTGCCATCTAGGCCTTAGGGGTAGGCAGGTCTCAGTCCTGGCACCTCGCACATGTCTGAGGCTGAGCAGGGCCTAAGAGGTGAGGCCTGGGCCTCAGTTTCCCTCTGTGAAGTGGGGGGATGTAGGCCTTCAAGGAGGGGTAGAGGTACAAGGCTTCCTCTCATCTGCTTTCACAGCATCTAGGCCCAAAGGCACTAAGGGAGTCAGGAGCTGGGGCTCAGCACATGCACACGCTCCTCCCCACCCAAACCTCGGGGCGCCCTCCTGCGTCCCTCCCTCCTTGTTGTCCAGTGCTGGGTTCCCACCCCAAGGTCAGGCTGCCCAATCTCTGACTGGATTGCAGGGGCTCCTTGCCTCAGTTCTCCCCTCTGAGCCCCCAGCCCCTTCTGCGTCTCAGTTGGGGCTGGGGGCATGGAGAGGAAGGGGCCACCTGCTCCCACAAATGCCTTCCACAGATGCCAGGAGGTAGATGTGTGCTGGCCAATAAAGGCCCCTACCTGATTCCCCGCAGGCTGGTCTCACTGTGTGCTTAGATGAGGGCAGCAGGGAAGACGGTGTGATGGGAGGAGGTCTAGAAATGGGCAGGAGACAGGCAGTGGAGAACGCTCTGCCCTGGAGGACGAGCCTCCTGGGGGAACAGGCTGCATGGTGCAGGGGCAGGAAGCCTGTGTCTCTGGACATCAGGGAACAGCTCTCCCACAACTGGTCATTCATTTGGTGCTCAGTCATTCATTCACTGATTCATCCCTTCATCCCCCTGATGCCAACACAGAAGAGTCAAACACAACTGCTGCCACCAAGGAGGTCCAGGTTGAAATACAAACTGGTTTTTATTCTAAATGTGTACTAGGGCAGCATGCTGGGGGCCTCTCCTGCCTCCAGAGGTGCCTCTGCACCCCACTGTGGCCCTCAGCAGACAGAGCAGGGGTTCAGGCTACCCACATGCAGCCCAGCCCCTTGGCACCCAAGGGCCTGCCTGTACCCCCACTCTCTGACTGAGCTAGGGAGGCCCAGGACCCTCAGAGTGGGCAGGCCCACCCTTCCCCTGGGTCACCAGGGCCTCAGTGCCCACTTGTCCTCCGACCAGCAGTGACACAGCACCCTCCACGCGGCCTGTGGCTGCCAGCGCCACCACTGCCTGCTCTGTGGGGAAGCCCATGCGCTCCAGCTGCTGCAGCCTGTGGGGAGTGGGTACACAAGTTGGAAGTGTCAGGGCCACCCGTGGCCCCTACACCAGGGGACCCCACCTCTGCCCAGCCCACCTTACCGCAGAGAAGAGACAGAGGACTTGGACAGCCAGGGTGGGCTCTGGGGCCCCTGGGACGGCCCGTCAAGAAGCGAGGCCTGGATCCCCTCCTGCAGCATCTGCTCATCCAAGGCCTCCCACATTGGAGTCCCTGGGGAGAAGCTGGCCCCGGCCCAGTCCAGGCCCGCCTCTGAGGAGCCCTCCCAGGTGGGTTGCACAGGCCTCAGATCTGGTGGGGGCAGGGCTGAGCCATCACAGTGGGACCAGAGGTCAGAGGAGGCTACATAAAGTGGTTCAGGAATCGGAGGCCTGGAGGAGTGGGAACAGAAGAGGGCCTGACTGCCAGCCCAGCCACATCACCCACCGCCCAGACTGGTGTCCCCCGCATCACCCTCACCTCACTCCAGCAGGATGGGTGACAGGCAGCTCGGCCAGGCTGCTCGGGATGGGAAGGAGCCTCAGGGGCCAGCACCCTGCCAGGGTCCTGCACAAGATGCCCTCTTGTAGCACCTGCAGCCGCCGCTCTGAGGGCTCCAGCCACCGGAAGGCCCCAGCTGTGTCTGTCTGCCCGGGGCAGGGCGGCCAGTCAAGGAAAACCAAAAGCAGCCACGAGTGGGCCCACGCCACAGGCTAGGCCCATGCAAAGTGTGCTGGCCATTCCCTCCCATCTCCTCACTGTGGCCCAGCATGGAATAGCGTCACCCTGGTCAGCAGCGAGGCTCAGAAAGGAAAAGGGATCTGCCTGAAGCTACTCAGTCAAACAGAGCCAGGTATGCCTCAGCCCAAAGCCTGGGCTCACCCCTGACCCCCTCTGTTCCCAGAACCCTGTGCACCATTTCAGGCTCACCCATCCTGGAAGAAGTTCCCATTGACACACCTGCTCTTGCCTTCAGACAGACCGGGATAGTTCATGTCCCCAGTCCAAACAGGCTCCTCCCTCAAAAGCCAGAAAGCAGGGGCCAGTGGCACTTTTCCCCCACAAGTATGAAGCATCTTAGGGCTAGACGCCGTGGGTCACACCTGTATAATCCCAGCACTTTGGGAGGCTGAGACGGGATGATCAGTTGAGGCCAGTTCAAGACTAGCCTGGGGAACACAGACCTACCTCTACAACACATTTTTCAAATTAGCTGGACATGGCAGTGCACACCTGTAGTCTCAACTACTCAGGAGGATGAAGTGAGAAAACCACTTGAGCCCAGGAGTTTGAGGCTGTAGTGAGCTATGATGGTGCCACCACACTCCAGCTTGGGTGACAGAACAACTCTGTCTCTAAAAATAAAAAGTATCTTATGAGCAAAACACCAATAAATAATGCTCTAGCACGGTTTTCTTTTTTCTTTTCTTTTTTTTTTTTTTTTGAGACAGAGTCTTGCTCTGTTGTCCAGGCTGGAGTGCAGTAGCCTGATTTTGGTTAATTGAGCCTCTGCCTCCCAGGTTCAAGCAATTCTCCTGCTTCAGTCTCCTGAGTAGCTGGGATTACAGATGTGTGCACCACACCTGGCTAATTTTTATATTTTTAGTAGAGATGGGGCTTCACCATGTTGACCAGGCTGGTGTCGAACTCCTGACCTAAAGTGATCCACCTGCCTGGCCTCCCAAAGTGCTGGGGTTATAGGCGAGAGCCACTGCGCCCAGCCAGGCTTTAACTTTTTTGGTTTTTTTTTGCTCAAGGTGGTTTGGCTATTCTTGGTCTTTTGTGGTTCCATATAAAGTTTAGGATTATCTTTTCTATTTCTGTGAAGAATGGCATTGGTATTACAGGGACCCCACAGAGCCCTTTACATTGTAATTGGCACCTCTACCAGGCCATGACCCTCGAGGCCCCGGCTCAGAGCATGTCCCAGAGGAGGACTCAGAAGCTCCTAGAATGTGTGTGCACAGCTTCCTGGTATCGCTTGGGCCTTAACCCCCTTGTGCCACTTCCTTCCCAGGCATGCACAGAACCTGCACATCCCCACAGGCCCTGGGCTCAGGCAAAGGATACAGGCCAGGCCAGCAAGGAGGCCACAAAGCAGCTGCAGGAAGGGTGGCTCAGAGCTGAGCAGCGGGGTCAGGGCAAGCAGCAGCCACGGCGGCAGCCACGGTGGCAGTGCCCCACGGGGCCGTCTAGGGCGGTGTCCCTCCCCAGCCAGCATGCCCAGGTGGACAGGCATGTATCCACAGCCGCCGGCTGCACCAGACACCCCCAGGCCTGCCAGCAGCACTGCCAGCAGCCCGGAAGCCAGGGCGAGCAGGGCCGAGGCATGCAGGAACCTCAGCGTGCCCAGGTGGCACTCCTGCTGCCAGCCCAGAGTGGGCAGGAGCAGCAGGCTCAGGAGCAGGCCCGGCAGGGCCGTGTGGCCCAGGGCATGGGTCAGCAGCCGGTGCACTGGGAGAGAGAAGGGGCTTATGTGCCAGGTTAATGGCTCCAACATCCAAGGCTGTCCCAGGTGTGCCAGGTTGAAGGTTACCCTACACCAGGGCCACCCACTGAGCCCACCTCCCCTCCCCAGGAGCCAGTCTGCCCACAGCTACCACTTAATCATTAGTGGAGGGGACCAAGGACTTTCAGACACTGCAGCTATGCCTCTGTGCCATGAAACTGAACACGCCGGACCTGCCACTCAGTCTCCTCACTAACAACCCGCTACTGAGCACTCACTATGTCCTAGACACCATGAAGGTACTCTGCTTCCACATTTACTGAATCATACCTGGCTGAGAGCATGAGACTTCCTGCTTCAATCCTGGAGCTACCCCATTCCCTCAAGCTGTGTGACCCTGGTCGAATCACCTAACCTCTCTATCATTGAGGGTCCTCAAATATAAATGGAGGAGTTGTTATTATTGGGAAACAAGTGCTCAAGTTGAGGTCACTCCTCAAACCCCCAACACCTCCTCCTTCCCATCCTCATGCTTAGCTGAAATTCTTAGTTTTCTTTTTTTTTTTTTTTTTTTTGAGACAAAGTCTCACTCTGTCACTCAGGTCAAACTGCAATGGTGAGATCTTGGCTCACTGCACCCTCCGCCTCCTAGGTCCAAGTGATTCTCCTGCCTCAGGCTCCCAAGTAGCTGGGATTTCAAGCACCCACCACCATGCCTGGCTAATTTTTGTATTTTTAGTAGAGACGGGGTTTCACCATCTTGGCCAGGCTGGTCTCAAATTCCTGACCTCAAGTGATCCACCCTTCTCGACTTTCCAAAGTGCGGGGATTACAGGCATGAGCCACTGGGCCCAGCCTTAGTTCTTATTTCAAGAAAAAGCAGCCAGAAAGGGAAATCAGAAAAGCACTCCTACCCACAGGTTCCAGCCCACCCTGCCGAGTTATCTGCCCCCCCTTCTTGGCTGTGGATGTGCTGGGCATGCTCCTGTCTTAAGGCCAAGCTTCCCCAGGACACTGGCTCCCATTCCTGCTTAACCTCTGCAGGGCTCGTGCTGCTCCTGCCAACTGGGCCCAGGCCCTACACCAAGTCTCCTGCTTTCCAAGGTCCATGTGGCTGGCCCTCACCCTGCCAGGGGTCCAGCAACAGCTCCGGGGCCAGGACAAGGCTGGGGCCGGCCCCCAACAGCCACAGGCTGCTCATCAGCAGCATCAGGACTGAGGAGGCGAGAGGCAGCGACGGGAACAGTGGGCCGTGGGGGCCCCTGGCATGCATAGCTTGGTTGAGGGTGGTCAGGGGCGGTCCTGGGGCTGTGTGCTGGGGGGTAAAGGAAAACAATAACAAGTTATTATTGCAGCTGTTATCTCACCAATACCCTCTCAAGTACCTTATCAACAGCCCTATTTTACAGAGGTGCAAACAGGCTGGAGAGGCAGGCCCAGCAGCTTGGCCATAGTGGAGCTCAGACCCTAAACCATTTGCTCATGAGCCATCTTGCCATTCCACTCACCTATGTTTAAAGACTGGCAGGGGACAGGCATAGAGAATCCTGAGTCCTGATTGGCCCTAAACTCCCAAAAAGAGGTGTACAGCACCCTCCTCCAGGGCGAATCCGAGGCCATCTCTAACCCTCTTTTGTCCTCCCCCTTCACCTCAAGCTACTACCTCCCTCTTTCCTCCCTCCCCTGTGCCCAGCCTTAAGGCTCCAGATGGTTTCAGTTGCCCCTGACCCGTGGGACCAGCCAATGGGCAAGCAGACGGGGTGGGGTAAGGGGTGGGGCAGAAGGGCAGGAGTCCCACATTTTGAGCCCTACTAGGAGAGCTGGGACTAAGACATCCCCTTTGAGGGCAAGCCGATCCACGGTAAGCCTTCTCCTGCATCCTCACTGGCACAGCCCCTCTGGCTCTAGCTCCCCTTTCCACAGGAAGGGCCCGGTACGCACTCCACCTCTTTCTGCTCTGTGTCCCTGAGCAGGTTTCCCAACCTCATCTTTTCCAGATGAGCCTTTCCTTCCTCATCTATAAGATGGGACTTCAGAAATTCCTTTCCTCAGAGGACGATGAAATAAAAAGGAATAGGCTAAGGCAAGCCCTGGCCCACAGGGCTCGGTAAACCACAGCAATCCTTACTAATCATGGCAGGCGTCCGTAGCCATCAACCGGCCCATCAAGACGGCCTCAGTTTTGGAGGTGGCTGCTCCAGCCTCACTGGTCCCAGCTTTCGCCCTCAAACATGGCCTTTCCCTGCCCACCGAAGCAAGGCCTTTCCCTCTAAGCTTTCCTCTTGCATCCAGCCTGTCCTCCAGGGCCTGTAGGTCTTCACCCCTGGTCAGGCCTCTTCATCCCAGGACTCGCACTGAGCTGATTCAGGGCAGGAAGCAGGATCCCAGAGAAACAAGAAGGCTGCCTCATCTGCTCCCCTGCCAAGGGCATTCTCCACATCTACCAGTTTCCTGCAGGAAAAATGTGGACAGCTCCTCTGCCTGCATTGTCCTTCCCTCCACTTCGCCAGCAGGCAAACTCCTATTTCACCCTTTGAAGCCCAGCTTAAACATGCCTTCCCCTCCTCTGGCCCCCCAACATCATGGATCTTATCTTTATGAGCACAGCTTGGCCAGTGTGTCTCCCTAGGCAGGTGGTCTGAGCTCATGGCTCCTCTGAGCCATCCCCAAATTTCCCTGGGTATTTACAGCACATAGCCGGTGCTTTATATGTGTTCACAGAAAAAAGGACGCTAACTTGGCTCCTGGTCCTGTTGAAGGATTTAAGGGCATCACGGGCCTTGGCATGCACCTAGGGGGCCAGGCTTGAGGTCCAGGAAGGTGGGCAGGGGCCAGCCTTGCCTGGAGGCAGGGTTTGGGCCCAAGGCACCCAGCATAAACCTCCTCCTGCATCCTCACGACCATTCCCCCCGCTCAGGACACCTTCGCAGGGGTGAAGGGCTTGCTCGCGGACACTCGGAACTGGGACTTGAGCCCCCTGGACCTCACTTTCTTCAATCTACGAAAACGGGGCGGTGCACCACCAGGCCCTGCCTACCTTACTGGGAAGCCAGGAGGGCAGAATGGAAAGACAAGGACGGAGCTTCTTCCGGGTGGCGGATAGAGTAGGGGTCCTAGGGTCTGTCTGGTTCGAACACAGCTGGGGAATTTGCAAAGATACTCAATATCCTTGGGCCTCAGTTTCCCCTTCTGTAAAAACAAGGGTACTGGATAAGGAATGATTAAAGGGCCTGCTCCACCTCGACTGCTACCGGGGATGGCATCTCGGGGCCAGGAACGGCGTTCGAGGCCTCCCACCCAGACGACCGGCCTCGGGCCCCTTCCCCGCCGGCCCGGGCCACGCGTCCTGGGTACTCACTGCGGAGCGCGCCCCGCAACCCCGAAAGGCCGGTCGGACACCCCGGCTGGGAGTTGGGACTGTAGCTCCCAGGCGAGACCCGGGAACCCTGAACCCATTCCGCGCACACCCGGCCGCGTAACCCTGGCCGAGTGGCTGGCGCGCCACCCGATTCCCCGAGGCCCGCGGATTAGTCAGCAGTTGTTCCCGCCCGGGTCCCTTCCCCCAGCCCTCCCGCCGATCTCCGTCTCCCTGCAGGGCAGACTCTTCAGCGACGGTCCCTAGAGCCGGAGGACGGAACCATTCCAAACAACCTGGTCTCGTGCGGAGCGCCTCTCCGGTTTCACATTGAGACCCGCTCAAGGGCGCTCTGTCCCCTTAGGTGCTATTTTGGCCCGAGTATCGCGTCCGGCGCTCTTTAGAGAGGATTGGGACAAGGGTTGCGGACGCGAAGAACGAGACAGCGGTGGTACATCCCTCCTGACCCCACCCCCATGGCCTGGCCCGATGGTCGCGCCCGAGGTTGCGGGATTTGCGCCTGCGCAGTGCGGCGCAGAGAGGGAAAGCGAGAGGGAGACGGACGTTGAGAGAACGAGGAGGAAGGAGAGAAAATGGCGTCCACGGGTGAGTGTGGTGGAACTGCGGTCGCGCCCGCGGTAGCCGGAACGCCCAAACTGGGGGCCGTTCGTCTCTAGGCTTGGCTGGGAGGACTGAGTGGAGTTGCCGAGAGGGGTTTGAGGTACCAGCCGCGGCCCGAAGAGCTCGGGGGACCCGCGTTTCTCTCCCCTCCCCCCACCGGGCGGGCCGGTTCTGGAACCTTCCGCCGCCCGCGGCGCGCGGGGGACTCGCGGCGGCGGGGGCGCGCGGGGCCCGCCTTGGTCTCCATTGTGTGGCGGTCCTGGCGCCTTGCGCTTCGGGCCTCCCGCCACGTGGGCGGGGCGTGCGGCCTTCGGGGCCCTGCGTGAAGAGGGGGAATTGACCAGGCCTCGAGCCGGTCGCTGAAACCGCCGGGGGCGCCGCAGGCCGCTGTTCCTCTGAGGCCCCCTCTCCCCCGTTTTCAGGGTTTCCTGAGAAACCAGGGAATAAAGCAGAGAAACAGAAACGATTTCTTGGGCTTGGGGGCCGAGGGGTGCCGGCCTGTGAGCGGGAGCCTCGTCATTCTTAAGGCCTGGTCGGCTGGGGCGTCTGGCGCTGCCGAGCTGCTCCTTCGGTGGCTTCCAGCCTCGAGCCGAGCTTCTGCCCGCCTGGGCTTTACGCAGAATGTGCTTCCCTCTTGCAGGGCCCCCAGTTTGCCGCTTTCTTGGGCTTCTCCATTTTTCTCGTTATTTATTAATCCACGCCCTCCCCTCCCCCAAAACCAATTAAGTAACTTCCCAGGGCCCTTTTTCTGCAGACGCCGAGGGATATCTGTTGTATAATAAGGCCAGCCTGGATCGAGAGATGAGAAATGTTACCAGAAAGAAATTTCTGGCCTCTCTGACCTGGGTGGGGGGGGGAACAAAAGGCCGAGCCTGCATTTGAATCACGCTTCGGCAGCGGTCGCGCACGTTTATTCGCCTGCGTTAGGCCGGGAGGCCTGTTGATTTCGTGGGTCGACAGAGGAGAGGGAGAAAGAGGACGGTAGGGGACTTGAAAGCCAGCCCTGGGCGGGAACTTCAAAATCTGAGCGGTCCTTGATGGAAGGAGCAGTTCCGGAGTGTCGCCTACCCATCACCTGCAATTCGCAGCGTCCGGGTACACTAACCCGCGGCAATTGGCTGGGTAGAGCGTATTTGCCTCGGGGGGTATTCTCAAGCCACCTGGCTCCAGGCCTTAGAGACGGTGAGAGGGAAGACGGGAAAGAAAAGCTCTGGGGCCCCCAGAGTTTTAAGAGTCCAGAATTTAGCAACTTAAGGGCAGTTTAAGAATTCTCATCTGTGTGGTCAGTTAACAGGTAAGTGTTGGCTGTTCGTGCCAGGGTACCAAGGAGTGCCCCTGGAAGAGAGGACTCTTAAATACCACAGTCTAACCTCATGGTGGGAAGTGGTGTCCTAGGTGCCCTTTCCACCCTTTTCTTCTCTGCAAAAACCTGAAAAGGCAAAACGTGTGACATTTTTTTGCAGGGCTGGACGTCTTTTTTCAGTCAACTTTGTTCAAGTTTTGTTCACTGGTAACTACCATATGCTGTACTGAGAATTACAATTGTGGTTTCTGTGAGGTAAACACCTTAGGCTTGGCTGGAGGGGGTCCTTCAGAGAGTCACATAAGTAATCTGGGCCTCAGTTTCCTTTCCTGTAAAATACAGAAGTTAGACTAGACCTCTTAAGCTTTGAGCCCTTCTGACTTTCTATCATAAGCATTCCATAAATTTGTCCCATGCTGACTTCAACTCAGGTAATGGGAAATCTGCAGCTTCCATAGTGACTGCTATAAAGTGTTAAACCGTTGCCTTGGGTTAATTAGGTTTTCTGTCCTGGTGTGTATCTTGTAGAAAAGTATATGAAACACATATCCAGTGCAACAAAAGAATTCCAGTGCAAACTCCCAGCAATCTAGAACCCCCATCCCCCGATCACAGTGAAGTGATTTTTATTGAAGTCTGTGGCTCACTTTTGGGGATTAAAAACACACACGGTAGGCCGGGCGCGGTGGCTCACGCCTGTAATCCCAGCACTTTGGGAGGCCGAGGCGGGTGGATCACGAGGTCAAGAGATCGAGACCATCCTGGTCAACATGGTGAAACCCCGTCTCTACTAAATATACAAAAAATTAGCTGGGCATGGTGGTGCGTGCCTGTAATCCCAGCTACTCAGGAGGTTGAGGCAGGAGAATTGCCTGAACCCAGGAGGCGGAGGTTGCGGTGAGCCGAGATCGCGCCATTGCACTCCAGCCTGGGTAACAAGAGCAAAACTCCGTCTAAAAAAAAAAAAAAAAAAAAAACACACACAGTTGGTTGCTGAATAATCTGACCATTGTGTAATTGTATTAGATTGGTGCAAAAGTAATTGTGGTTTTCCTGTTTTAATGACAAAAACCACAATTACTTTTGCATCAATTTAATAGCTTGTTCTAGGTCCTGTAATGTTTGTGTGGTCTGGGGAGATAAATACAAGTTTGCTACCTCCTAGAGCCCACCAGTTAGTATAGGCCGATTCCTCTGGTTTCTCACTGATACAAGGTCATTAGTTCCGTATCAGCTTTGCCAGTTTTATGTTTTACATAACTGCTCTTGTGTAGAAGTCATCTTGCAAACGTTGAACTTGAATGTCAGTGATTTAGAATTGTTTCTCAAGCAAAGACCTCAACAAAACGTGGGTTAAAATATTTGAGGTTAAATGCTTCATTGCTGTGATGTTAAATGATTATTCTGTAGATGCCACGTGGAAGAAATGATTTGCATTTAATTTTAATGTCACAGAGGGGGTTTGACTTGTTGTGCTATTGAAAATGCCTTTAAGATTGTTGTGAACACATTTGTTTTTTCATTATAGGTAGCCTTTGGGCAGTTAATTCGGTCCTCTTGGTGATTCAGGGTTTTGAGTTAAGAATGTGTACAAAGGAAAGAAAGTAGTCCAGTTGAGTATGGAAAGGTAAATGGGTAAGCCAACATAGAGTGGTGGATTCAGCAAAATTCTCTCAGGCCAGGCCAAGGTATTGTGAGGCTAGCTTTGGATTGCGTGAAGTGGATGCAATTGTTGGTTTTGGATGAGGGACTACTTTCTGATTGGAAAATAAAGGACCCATTTTTTTCCATCCTAATGGCGGTACTGTCTTTAGACAGAACAAGATATGTATTCCTGTGGAAAAATGAAGAATTGGGCAGAATTTTCAAAAACCGTTACTTTAACTGCCTTTAAAAAAAAAACACTAAACTTACCTAACTTTAATTCAGTAGTGCTCTGAATACGTAACTATTTTCTGTTTGTTTTTACTAGTTGTAGACACCTCAGTGGACCAGAGTTTTTAGTCCCTTTGGATGCATGGTGTAAATTTCATAGGAAAAGCAAAATTACAGGGAGGTTTACTTAAATAAGGGATGAAAATACATGTCATTTTTTTTTTTTTTTTTAAGTTGAAATCATTTTGAGTTGCATGAAAGTTGGTTCTCTTCTTTGCCAGTGTTCAGGATTCTGCCTTAACTATGCTTCACCAGGATTTATAATGTGTCTAGCTTTTGAGTTACTGCACAAATGTAGTTCTAACAGCAAACCCTTTAGAACACTGGACTGTGGTGACTGTCTTCTTGTCTGCCGTTCCATTTCACTGTCGTTGAGCTAGGGAATGACTGTCTAACTTCCTGAAGTGAGGGGAATGAAAACTAATTTTTGAGGAGAGGTAGCTTCTAATGTAACCAGTCTAGTGTTAAACTTTGTATTATTGTTGCATGCTTCCTTTTTATATGAGGGTAAGAACTTCTGATCCTGTTTGTAGAACTTGTTGTCAGTCTGAGATGATGATCATAATCCTGTATTTCAAATGACAACCGGGATTGTTTGGGGGATGGGGGTTGTGGTCATGGGAACATGCAAAGTATCCCGGCCAAATCAGCTGATCTTGATCTCATTAGCTCATCCCATAGTCAAATGTTCTGAGTTTAACTGGCTTAGACTTTTTTTCTGTTAGGTGTTGAGAGAGAAGGGGGATTCATTTGGACCTGTGTTAGCAGGTCCCCTCTTCAGTTTAAAGATTTCTTTCTGCCACGTAAATTGCTTCCCCCTTTTTTCTCTTTCCCTTGTTTCTGCTAATTTTTCACTATTTTTTCTCCTCATTTTCCTCTAGATTACAGTACCTATAGCCAAGCTGCAGCGCAGCAGGGGTAAGTCAGTCTTTTATAACCATATTTTTCTGTGATTATAATAGAGTATGGAGCCTTCTATAATTGTAGAGGATGTGGTGGTATTTGAATGTTCTCTATTCAAGTTATTGTATTTAATTCTTTTAGCAGCTACAGTGCTTACACCGCCCAGCCCACTCAAGGATATGCACAGACCACCCAGGTAATCTTTAAGATAATTACGCGTAGCTGCGCCTCCAAATAAAATGCTGCTCTCAGTCATCCAGTAAAACAAATGAGTAATGTGTTTGTAATAGTAAAATATCCAGGCATTTTAAACTTCTGCAGTGGGAGTACGAAGGACTCCATTCTGCCATCATAAATGAAACCATTTGAAAGCTGCTTATTGGCTCTCCATAGCTTTGTAGTATGATTTCTCAAGTTAGGTGCCTTGTTTCATGCTTGGTCCTTCTTCATTATGTTTAAATTTAGTGAATTTATTCATCATAGCAATTCTGCAAAGGAAGATCATGCTATGGCCATTGTAGCGTGTAGGTATTAAGTAACTTGCCAGTGGTTGCACAGTAAGTGGTGGGTTACCTCTAAAAACTGGCCACCTAGCTGAAGAGCTCCTAAGCTGTTTCCAGTAAAGAGTCTGTTAAAAAGCCTAGGCCAACAGATTCTAGAAATTAGCCTTCTAGTGTTCTCAAGATCATGTTGAATTCTGAAATGATCCGTGCCATAAAATGGA